TTATTTAACTATAATTGAATTTGTTAACTTTGTACTTTGTTGTATTAGTTTTCTATCGGTGTTATACTACTTAGCTTCTCAAAACAAGAAATACACTATCTCAGGATTTTGAAAGTCATGAGTCTGGATTGGTTTGGCTGATTCCTCTACTCTGGGTCACAAGGCAGAAATAATATTCTGGCTTTTATCTGGAGGCTCTGAGAAACAATCTCCTTCTAGTCTCTTAAGAAGCCAAATCAGCAATCACACATCCAGTCTTTCTCATGCTTTAAATCTAACTTCTTCTGTCACATCTCTCTGACTCCAGCTGATCTAAAAGACTCATGAGATTAGACTTGGCCTACATGGATAGTCCAGGATAATATGATTTCAATAATCTTCAAAATCTCTTGAGCTATATGATGTAACCTATTTATAGGTCTGAAGATGAGAAAGTGGACATTTTGAGGGACCATCATTCAGTCTACTACATATGGCTTGATGTTTTCATGTCCATTTAATAATCAAACATTCAGTTAATTACACTATCATATTTCTGCGTTTCTATATCAAAATTTGAATGGGAACATAGAATGATTACTCACTCTTTATCTTTAAAATCATGTAAAAATAAACTGTGCATTTAATTTCAAATGTAAAATGAATAGTAATTGGCATTTTATCATTGCTAACACGAAGTCAATTCTCACAATTTGAGTAACTAAGTGCATTGTTTTCCAAACAGCTTTGTTTTTATGATATGAGAAGGTTTATTTTAAATATAGGTGTTTCATTGGTCAGAGAGATTTTCTTTAGCCAAAATTCATTTGAAAATTAACATTTTTGTAAAATATTAGTTATATATGTAACTATTAAATTTTCTGCATTTTACTGTTTTTCTTGGTAGAAAAGTCATTGAAATTCTCTGAGCTCAACATCTTCATCTGAGAAGGGCAACATTATTATCAAAGCTGCAGGGCTCCTATAAATTTAGATTCTATCTATTTATTTATACTCATCTACTTATCACTCATCTATCTACTTATCTCTCTCTAGGTACAGAGTTGGTATTCTATAATTAGTTTTTGATGATGACTTAAGGCTATGTTCAATATTAACTTCTCAACCTAATTTTTTCAGGAGAAATTGTTGGTCTGTCTTAATGTCTGTATAGTCTAGTCATCAGTGCACAAATATGGTACTAGAATTATTTGTGTCTCTATTAATGTTAGAATTCAAAGTACTTCAAGTAATGAACTGTGTATTTTATTAATACTTTATTATTTTTGACACAAGAAAAACAGCTTACAATAACCATTCAATCAATATTGGTTTAAATATTTGTCTTGGCTCTAGAGCAAAAATAGTTTTAACTTAAGAATTGCAAAACAGTAATTAGGTAAACAAGAGTAGTCCAAATTTTCTTTTTCAAGCTAAGTCAGGCCTTGACCCAGCTGCTTTACAGAAATTCTTATTTTGCAATAGGATTTTAATGTCACTACTTTGATCAGATTAATTAATAAAGTTTGATGCATTTAAAGCAGTGGTATTAGGCATAATTTTTTCTGTATAATAAGGCTCTGCATTATATTGATTTTTAAAGAGTAGGTCACAAATGCCCTCCATAAAATAAAATGTAGCATTTATTATGTGATTAGATGTCTATTCTTTTAATTAATAATGAAAAATGTCTGTCATACACAATGTTTAAATTCCATCTTAAGGTTATCCACCCTAATACACCTTTCAGATGGCAGTACTTCCATAAATAACTAGTTAAAAATTGTAATTGTTAAAAGTGATTTTAAAAATCACCAATTTCCAGGATATTCCCCAAAAAACCTGTCTATACCTACTTAGTAAGTTAACTAAGGTTCTCCAAAGAAACAGAACTAATGTAATGTTGAGGGGGAGAGAGAGGGAGGGAGATTGATTTAAGGAATTGGCTCATATGATTGTGGAGGCTTGGTGAGTCCAAATGATAGGATATACTGGAGAGCTGGACACTTAGAGAAGAGCTGTAGTTTGAGTTCAAAGGTGGTCTGCTGGCAAAATTCCTTCCTCTTTGGGAGAGATTAGTCTTTATCAATTAAGACTTTAAATTGATTGGATGTAGCCGACCCATCCTAAGGAGAGCAATCTGCTTTACTCAAAATACGCCTACTTCAATGTAATCTCACCCCCCAAAACACCTTCACAAAACATCCAGAATCATACTAGACCACATATCTTAACATTGTGACTTACCTAAGTAAACATATCAAATTAACCTTCAGGCCTAGCTATGTCATATGAACTCTTATTAAAGGAAATAAAATTGTCTTATGATATCTACCTCACTCAGGGTTCAGATCCACAGGAAGTTTTCCGGAAAGCATTACAAAGGAGATTGTAAGCTAAAGCAAATATGATAATACTGCTATTCTGGTGATACTCTCGTTGTTGAGAAAATCAAGCCATGGCAAAATTTTTACAGAATAAAGTGAAACTCGAAGGGTATATTCTAATTCAGTTTACCCCTTCGTTAATGTTTAGTTTTGTGGGATATTGCTAACATTGTTAACTAAATGAAAAACCTGCTTCTGTGCAATAGAAAGATGTTGATTCTTTTCTTATATTAAAATGAAAATGAGAACATTCCATATTCTTTAAGCATGAATTATTAAATAATGTTAAAATTTCATAATTTCTTATAAGCAGTTCCTTAACTACCCAAGAAATTATATCTGAGAGAAAAGAACACCATTATTTTGAAAATTGAATTAGAATGTGCTGAATTTTGGGAGTAGTCTTTTTATTTTCAATCACATTATCACTTTTCACATGCAAATTCCATTACTCTTCTCCATATATATTCACTAAGGCTGTTTATTTTTGTGATAGTATTTACCTAGGAGAAATGGGTTTCAATCATGTGTACCTCTTCAATGATCCCCTGTGTACCACAGCACAATGTGATATACCCCTTAGGATTTACTCCGTAGTCCTCAGTTAACTCATTTATATTAAATTGCTTAGCATAAAACAACACGCTAAACAATATTAATGTTTTTAACTATGCCTTGGGTTATAATTTGTTTATATTATACAGCATTTGCAATTGTGTAAAGGGTTAGAATATGGGCTCATCTTCAGGGATTTAACAATATTTTCTAAGATTTTGGGTTTTCACTCAAGGTAATCAAACTGTCATATTTCAAAGCAAGATCAAAGCAATGTGATCCCTTGTGTGGTGATTCTTGAATGTTTTCCACAAATTATTTTACATTTTATAGAAGTATTATAAAACATATATGAAAATTCCAGTTCTTTATTAAAAATTGTAATTTCCCAGGAAGCCTCTAATAAGGAATTTACATTTTAATCCACCTTACCTCAACAAGCAACCATGCATGTCGGTATTCACCCATCTCATTCACAGTTTGATTTGCTCAGAATGATAGTTTTTCTTTATATTTCTACCAGGAAAGCAATCACGAGTGCTATTTAAAATGATATCTTAAATGAATATTATTAAAATGGACAAAACTTGAGAGTTTATGTATATCCATCATAAGTACTTAGTTACTTTGTGTCAAATATAAAGGGATTCTCGTAAGGTTTGTATTTCATCCAATACCCACAATTTGTTCACAAACTCAATTAGAACTGTAGAATTACTACTGTATTTATTTGTATCCTATCTTCTTTGACAGCACATTTTCACTGTGAATAAGAAGGTAGCTATTTTAAAATACTTTTCCACAAATAATATTAGTATACATTTCAGAACAGCAAATAGCTTTATAAATAGTTGCAATTATGCTACTAAATCCAAAAGAGAAATAGATTGTCTTTATCTGCATATCTCCTAAAAAAAAAATTTTAAAAATAAATCTTTTATTTTTATTCTTTTCTTTTTTAAATTCAAGGGAATAAGGGGGGAAGAAAGGTTTGGCCAAAAAGTAAGAACTTTTAAAAAGCAAAAGTGAAACGTTAAGAACTAACGAACTCCCAAAACAATCCCCAAATTTAATTAAAAATAATCCTAAATAGCTTTTAATTTTTACCTTATGAGTTATATGTCCATGAGAATGTCAATATATAAGTTGTCTTTTATGGAATAAACTCAAGGTGGATTGATTCTAACAGTCCAGTTGTATCACAATATCATCACATTTGATGACATTTTACAATGTAATATTTAGAAAACAAAGAAGATAATTATGAAACATTCCTTTAAAGATGTCCTTTTAAATTTATTATATGTCAGATATAAGGTTAGCATTGCATCTCAAAGATATGAAGTATGTTTTCAATAGGTACTGTAAAATAATGTATAGAAATTAATAGAAAAGAATTATATTCTGGTGATTTTGAATCAGCTCCTCATGATGGCAGCATATAATAAAGGCAATTTGGTTTTCCTACACAGATAGAATTATTTAGTATTTTATTTATTCTTAATGGTAGCATAAAGAGAACAAATTAAAGTGATGTTTCTTCCATGATCAATACATTCATAATATTAGAAGTCAATAATATATATCATTCAGATAGAGTGCTTTACTCCTTAGAGGGAAAATAACCTTTGCTCAGGTGCTAATATTAGATAATTTTAAAATAAGATCAAAGGTCTCTGGTTTTACATCAATATGTTCAATCATTTTATTAAAGAATAACTGTACACAGAGTAAAGTGCACAAGTCATAGGTCACACAGTTTGATATATGTCCATAATTTTAAAACACTTATTTAAATAGTCCAAGATCAAAAAGCAAAATATTACCACCCTTCAAGTTCCCCTTAAGCTATTTTTCAGTAACTATCCAGCACTGCTGGTCAGTTACCTAAAAAAGGTAATCATTATTTCCATTTCTGAACACTGGATAACAATTTTATTCATTTCCTAACGTCTCATCTGTCTTTTAATGGTAACAATTAACTTTATAATATATATATGTAGTGTATATATATATATATGTATATATATATATATATATACTTTCTCTGACAATTAAACATTATTTTTTATTGAATAGATCCAAAGTGGTACCCTTCTCGAGTTGGTCTGCAGCTAGAATGTGGTAAGAACCAATTTTATTTTCACATATGCATCTATTTAATTTAGAATCCTTTTTCTATCATCAGTAGTTGACATTTGTTTACCAGTAGTTAAATATATAAATACTAGTAAATATTATTCCATTTGATGGTCAAAAAAAAACCCAAAACCCTAATGTTCTAACTTTACAGGTGAAGAATTTTAGTCTCTAAAGATTTTTTTTCACATATTCATTGTCTGAGTTTTGGAAGCAGGATCAGAACAAATATCTTTCTGTCTATAAATCTTTACTGCTTAAAGCCCTAATTCTACTATACCTTAATGTGTTCTCAGGAATACTGCTTAGCTTATTCAAATTTTTTATCTTTTTTTTCTGTTATAAAGCAGAATAAGTGAGGTAAAGAGGAACAAAACCTAATTAATTTGAAGAAATATTTTATACAATAGTAAGCCTCAAGTTTCTCAGAATTTCAAACACTAATTTCTTAGGAGATTTATCAATGGACAAACTTACAAATGGGTCATATTAAGAATCATTGTGATTGACACTACTACATCAACCTGATCTTAAATTTGATATTTTTAATTCTAATGAAAGCTGTGGGTAGCATGACCATTTTTTGCAAGGTATTGGAGGGATACTTAGTCAAACTCTTTAATAGCAAATGTACAAGACACACCCATTAAGGAATTTCCATCACTAAATTTTTTCATACAATGATGAATTCAATTTTTTTTCTAGTTCTTTTGAAGATATTCAGGTTGTCCTTTCTCAGATATTATATCATTAAAGACAACTCTGAGTCATTCAAACATGGGTGTGTTCTCATTGCTATCTTAAACATTCCATCCTTCTCTGAGACCTGCATGTGAAAACAGTAATTCATAACATTCTTAGAAGTTACACTTTGTTCTTTCTTTTTGCCATTTTAATTTAATTATGTTCTTTATTTTATTTTATTTTAATTTTAGAATATTATCGGGTACTTGTTTTGTTTACAGGATTGCTCTTGTACTGCTTGAGTCAAAGTTATAAGTGTGCCCATCACCCAGATAGTGCACGTTGTACCTTTTAGGTATGATTCCACCCATCCCCTCCTCCTCCCCCCCCCCACTGACCTGCATGATTTCCATTAAGTTTTACTTCTATCTGTGCACAAGAATGTGATTGGATAGTTCCAAAGTAATAGTGAGTACATATGGTATTTTTTTTCCATTCTTGTGATACTTCACTTTGGAAGATAGTCTCCAGTTCCATCCAGATTTTTTCAAAAGTTATTAATTCATTTTTTTATGATTGAGTAGGACTTTATGGTGTAGATATACCATATTTTATTAATATATTCATTAATTAATGGCACTTGGGTTCACATTTTATTTGGCTTTGAAGATATATTGTACATTATGATTTCTATATAAAATTAACCCTTAGGTTTTACTGATTTCATGTTATAGCTTGAAATTATATTAAAATAATATTTTTCTGGTTATCTTTATTTTAGGTGGACCTTTCTTGAAGGACTATATCACCATTCAAAGTGTTGCAGCTTCCTCTATTGTCACACTCTATTTTACAGACCTTGGCCAACAAGTCAGTTGGATCACAGTAGGTGTCAATTTGAAATGCAATATACATGTCCCACATTTTACTTTAAATAATTCGATGACAGACACTTTCTTTCAAATGAATTTATAGTGAATTGTTAAATAGTTGATTTAGTTTACAAAGTTCTTTGAGTTTTGAGTACTAAATTGTTGCACTAAAAACTGAGTTTAGATCTTCTGAATTACTGTGAAGCATATTATAATGTTTAGAAAACAACCTATTGATATATATATATATATATATATAGTATAAACAAAGATTTTAGTATTATACTTAAATGTGATGTCCACAGACCTTTGCTTGAAGAGATTTTAGAGAAGCAGATTTGGTTTTCAAAGGTTAAAATAGTCAGAGGGTCTTTGTCCACATTTATAATGAAAAGGAATTCTGTTTACAGAAATTTTGTCAGAGTGAGCAGCATTAACGGTGAATTCATTAGAAATTCCAGCTGCATCATTTGGATAAGCACTGAGAATAAAAAGCACTGAGGTAGAATTCTATAACAATTGTACTAGAAAATTATAGCTTATTTGAGAGTAAAATCATCTATGTGACAAAGAGAACTCTGGAAATAGGGAAGATATTTTTAAATAAACTCTATGGTTCACACATCCTTTTGCTCCAAATGAGTCAGTTCTATTGAATGCTAAAAATATACACATTACACTGCAATCACACCCTTATACATCAAAGGCACTATCTTACCACACAAGATATCCTGTACATTTATAAAATATTAAAATCTGTTACTATAATAAAACATTTTACAGATTATTTGGGGAAAATTATTTAATTTTAAAAAGTCAAAATAAAAATTATAATATTTTTCACCAAGTAAGTGTGTGTCACAAAATATTGAGAAAATTCTTACCTCATTTAACTTATTTAAAAATTTAGAATAAGGGTTAATATGTTAATATAATAATCCTCATTATATACCATTAACTAAAAATCTTATATAAATTCATTCATGTGCATATGTGTGAATGTACAGTTCTATGCAATTTATCCCTTTTATGTATATTCATGTATCTACCACCAAAATCAAGATAGAGAATTGTTTCATTTATTAAGTCTTTCATGTTGCCCCTGTATATTCACACATTCTTTTTTTTCTGTCATGGGAACATGTGGTATTTGACTTTCTGTTTCTGGGTCAGATTCACCTAAGATAATGCCCTCCAGTTCCATTCATGTTGCTACAAAAGACATCATTTCATTATTTTTTTATGGTTGAACAGTATTCTATTGAATAAATATACATTTTCTTTATCTAATCATTTGATGATGGATACTTAGGTTGATTCCATATCTTTGCTTTTGTGAATAGTGCTGGGATAAAAATACAATTGCAGATATCTTTTTAATATGATGATCTTTTTCCCTTTGGGTTAATATGCAGCAGTGGGAATACCAGATTTAATGAAAAGGAAAAAAATAACAGGTGGCAACAGAGATGTGTTGAAAAGGGAATGCTTATGTATTACTGGTGAGAATGTAAATTAGTATAATCTCAATGAAAAATACTATGAAAATTTTTCAAATTGTTTTTTAAAATTCCTTATTAAACTTTTATTCTTGGGGAATATTTTTACATAAAAATATTTTGATGCTGGCAGTTACTTTATCTTCATGTCACAAAATTTTATTATTTTAATCTTTGATGCCCATTGTTTGTGCTGAAAAGTCAACTATACTCCTTTGAAAGTAATTTGTCTTTTCTTTGACATTTAAGTTTTGTTTTTGTTTTTGTTTATGGTTATCAGTAGTTTGGCTATGATATGTGTAATTATTATCATGTTTCTATTTATCTTGCTTTGTGTGTATAGTGTTTTTGAACCTGTCGTTTGGCATATATAAATACATATATGTATGCATATTTAGTTTGCAAAATTGGTTACCATTATCTCTTCAACTATTGCTTCTCCATTATTCTCTTGTATTCTCCTTGTGAAATTCATATTACATTTCCATATTTTTCTTTTCAAAGTTTTCTCATATCTAAACTTCTCAACCTTTTTTATTTCTTTGAATGAATAAATTATATATATATTTAAAAATCTATACCTTTTAATCTTGTTATATGACTCTTCAATTTATTTATTTTGCATTTATACTATCTCTCTTGATTTTGGTCACAGTATCTCAGTCCTATTACCTGAAAATTTCTGACAGTAGATAAATGAATTATGTTAGGGAATTAGTAAAAATTAAAAAGAACTGAACTGGGGATGATCTTCTCAATATAATTTAATTATTCTCGCTGAAATAATTATAAGCATATTGGCTCAGGAATCTTGATCCAATCAAGATTAACTGATTCAGGCGACATTAGTTACTTGAATATATTCTATAAGGTCACCTTCATCTTGGAAGATGATCAGCAATAATTTCTGTTCACCATTCCTAGGCCTGGTCAAAAGATCTGCTCTTCTTACCAGGCTCTTGTCAGGCTTCACATTCTAGGTTCAATCACTTTTTCTTTTTTAGCATAAACAAGGGTACGAATGACAAATGTTTAGCTTGAGAAGGGTAAGAATGGGGCCCCAGTCTCTTCTGGGATTTTAAGGTCTCAGTTGAGAAGTCTGAAGTTAATCTGATGGGTTTTCTTTGTAGATTACCTGCTTCTTTCACTTACACCTTCTAGGAGGGCCTCTTTCATGTTTATTTTGGCCATTTTGATGTCATGGTGTCTTCCTGCTTGCAATGAATCTCCCAGTAGTCTTTTGTGCTTCTTATCCCTGGATATCTAGATTTCTAGCAAGGCCAGGGGAATTTTTCCTTATTATATCCTCAAATAGTTTATCTATACTTTGTGTATTTTCTTCTTCTCCCTCATGGGGTCCTATGATTTACAAATCAGCCTCTCTTCTACATAATCCCAATTTCTTTGGTAGCTTTGCTCTTTTTCTTATTTTTCTGCTCTTTCTCTGCAACTATCTTATTTAATTGAAAGGTGACATACCTGATGCTCTGACTCTGGTGGGGCAAAGGCAATATAGTTAACCATAATTTTAATACCCAAAATAGTGTCTGGAATAAAAAAAAAAACAAAAAGGTTATCTTCTTTCAATCCCTAATATCTTGTGTTCTTTGATTACCATATCGAACTTTCCACTGTGTTTTATAATTCCTTGAAATAAATTCTTCATTTCCAGAAGTTCTGTTTTATTCTTGTTTAATATTTCAATTTATTTAGTCAATCTGTCTTTCAATTTCTGGATTTGTTTTGTGGCTTCTTTATGTTGGGTATCCATTTTCTCTTGCACATATTCAGTTTTCTTACAATTACCTTTGAAGTTCCTCTTCTGTCATTTTAGTGTTCTAAATTTGGTTGATATCCATTGATAGACAGCTAGTTTTCCCCTTTGGGGTTGTCTTTTCAGTTTTATTCTTCATACTTCCAGAGTTCTTTCATTGATTACTTCCCATCTGGAGCAGTTGTTGCTTCTTACCTTTGGATTTTCATTCTTTATAGCAATCTTGAACCTTTCAGCAATCTTGACCTTCTAATTCTTCATTAACAGTGATTCTCTGAGGACTGAAAACATTTGTTAAAAAATATTTTGATCAATTTTTTTCTCTGGGATCATTAGTATGTTATTTCCTAGTATAGTTTTTTTTTATCATATGATATTTATTTATCAAACTCTGAATAAGAAAAAAGAAAATCAATCTTCAACTTGTATGAAACTAACTTCATTAGTATTCATTAAGAACAAAGTGATGTTGCTATATTACTATTGGGAAATACTCTCATAATTTAATTTAGTAGCTGTTTTATCTTCAGGAAATTAAAATTGGAATTATTTAATTTTTGTTGTTAATTTTCAACAACTCTGAAATATGCAATTTGTTTTCTTTTCAAATACCAATTCTAATTTTGGAAAACAAGAGAGTAAATTCAAAAACACCAATAATAATATCCCTAATATGATTTTTTTCAAGATAGAATGAAATGCATTCAGCATGGTTTAGATACACGAGGCCTAAACAATTCATAATTGCAACTTCATGTTTCAATTCATATTTTTAAACAGATTATTGCCTTCTTCTCTTTTTAGGATTCTAGAGAGGTTCCAATGTCCCCAAGTAACTTGCCTAGTAGAAGTAATGAATTTTGTATTTAAAACATCTGATTAGTTCAATACAGAGAAATTTTTAGGAAGGACAAACATGAATACAATTTGATAATAGAAATAAATTGGAACTTAAATGTAGCATGCATCTTCAAAATAAGAATAAGTTGTTTCTACCTTTTTAGAATATAAATTCTCCACTAGATTTTCAGATTATAATTGTGTTTTAATTTTTGTAAGTTCTTATGGTTTGCTTAGGTTACATAATCTGCTTGTTTGTTTATATTTGTTTTTACATTCTATGTTTTGGTAGAAAAAGAGCAATTTCATTTTCATAAGGCTGTCTTAATATTTGTCTATTTATTCTTTGTTTTCCTTACTCTTAAACTATTTTCTGATTACTTTCTAAGTTTAATAAAACATCTTTCCTTCTTTCTTCTGTTGGCATGTAAACAGATTTTTTTTAAAAGATGCATTGTCCAAAAGTTTTTCTAATATCATTCTCCAGTTCTTTCAGGGTATATCCCTCATATCTTGCTACTATTTTAACCTCCATGTTCCAGCATGAACAATATTTGTAATAAAATACTGGGCCTCCTAAAACATATTTCTATATGTGAGTAGGCTTTCTGGAATTATTTTTAAGAGATGATTGAGATAAGACTGTAGTTTAATTTCCTCTGATCCAAAGAAACTTCATATCTGTAATAGCATTTTTATTAACTTAATAAAGAGTGACATTGGTCCAAATTCACTACTGTTCATAGTATTATTCCATTCCTGGTATACTCCTAGGGAATTTGGTCAAATTTGACTTTAATAGATCAAGTGGTGTTGAAATAAATATATTAAACTTCTTGTTGTTTTTAAACAATCTCCCTCTTCACTATGTCAGAGTATTAATATTCTATCATTATACATTAACAAGTGGTAAACATTCTCTTTATATCAGAATAATTAGGCATGTTGTAAGCCATAAAGTAAGACAGTCTCTAAAATGAGGTTGTTTTTATAATTAATTGATCAAATGTATTGTTTTTATTCTTACATACAAGTATCTATTGGCTCATGAAAAAATATATATTTCTAAAAGGCAGACTTATAACTGAAGAAACCTTCATATATACATAGTTATTGATATATGTGCATATAATTATATATATGGATAAACCTATATATTTATAACTGCAAAGATATATGTGTGTGCATATATATTATGTAAAACCACCCACTAACTATAACTGTATAGTTATACTAACTATATAGCTGTACAAAATTCTCATCAGAAACGTGAACATTAATTCCTAGTCAATGTGCACAACTGGATATTTAGCAAAATTCAAGTTTTCTACTTCAAAAAATAATGATAACAGGTGAAGGCAAGCAAAGTTGATAATGGCAATCAAATTTATTATTGTCGTGCGTGTATTTTTATCTTCTCTTTGAACAGTAAGAATTAAATTATTTTCTCCTCTCTGTCTCTATATTTCAGAAGGAATTCTGGATTTAGCATCCAAATAAAACCAAATAATTGGCAGTCACCAGATTCAGAAAATGAGTCAACTAATTAATCTTTCTGAAACCGAGCAGTCTTGTTTTGTGTTATTTTTGTTTTAATCTTGTTAGTGTCTCCCTATAGTTCAGATATCTCTCTCCACACATATGTTTACTCCAGCTCTAGTATTCATGAGTCAGTTCTTTTAACTACACAACTGAACTTGTTAGAATTAAAGTATAAACTTCCCAATAGAGAGGACTGAAATTTCAATTTGAATCAGGACCAAATCAATTGAGTTCAAGATGACAGGGCCATGAAAAGAAAAAAATAAAACAAAGAAAAAACAAAGGTAGTGTAGCACATTCCATTCATTGAATGGGATAGTTCATATAGAAGATAGAGTGCATAGTGGGCTAGGAAAACATAAAAACATATATTTATAATAGTTTTTAACTCAAAATCTTCCTTATACTGTTTCTAAAGAGATCAGTTAATTAGGTTAAACATTTGTTTGCATTTTCAAATTAACTATTCATATAGTATCCTTTCTCTTTAACTCTAGGCTTGTTCTTTCAAGAAGACTTATTATTTGCATTGAAAACAAAGCAAATTATTTTAAAAGAATAAATATTCACCTGTCTATTTCACCAGTTTATGCAGTATGCTAATGTTCATAGTCAGAAGTAAACCTTAAAAATCTATAAAAATATGCTGTTTAATCTAAATCAACTTCTTACTTTTAGGTATTTTTGGCTGAATACACAGGACCTCTGCTTATATACCTCCTTTTTTATTTGAGGATTCCATATATATATGATGTGAAAGAGAGCTCTAGAAGATTACGCCACCCCGTGGTACAGTAAGTGATTCATGTAGTGCATACAGGTTAAGGAGGAGTTGAAATAGTAGGCAGATATTATATCAATAAAGGTTGTCTTTAATTGTTAATCCAAATAAAGTAGATTCAATTTTATGGAAATATACTTTATATAACTGTAAACAGTACATACAAACTAGCTTGCAAATTCATAAACAAGGAACTAGTAAGCATATCTTAAAGTAGAAGTAATATAAGTGAATAATGATCACAGTTACCAAGGGAAATCACAAAGAACAAATCTGGAAGCATGGCATTACCAGACTTCAAAGTATATATACTACAAGGCTATAGCGACAAAGCCAGCATGAAACTGGCACAAAAAAAGAGACATAGATCAATGGAACAGAACAAACAATCCAGGTATAAAACCATCCACATACAACCAACTGACTTTTTTATTTTTTGAGACAGAGTCTCACTCTGTTGCCCGGGCTAGAATGCCATGGTGTCAGTCTACCTCACAGCAACCTCAAACTCCTGGGCTCAAACTTCTGTCTCAGCCTCCCGAGTAGCTGGGACTACAGGCATGCGCCACCATGTCCGGCTAATTATTTTTCTGTATATTTTCAGCTGTCCAGCTAATTTCTTTCTATTTTTAGCAGAGACAAGGTTCTCACTTTTGCTCAGGCACGTCTTGAACTTCTGAGCTCAAACGATCCACCCGTCTGGGCATCTCAGAGTGCTAGGATTACAGGCGTGAGCCACCACGTCCAGCCAAACCAACTGGTCTTTAACAAAGCAAACCACAATATACATTGGGGTAAAAGAAGCCCTATTCAATACATAATGCTGGGAAAATTGGATAGCCATATGGAGAAGAATGAGTCACGATCCATATCTCTCACCACTCATAAAATATAAATCAAGACTTACAAAAGACTTAAATGTAAAGCATGAAGCCATAAGACTCTAAAAGAAAATGTAAGAAAAACTCTTCCAGATATTGGCTAGACAGCAGTCCCCAACCTTCAACTTTTTTCTTGGCACCAGGGACCTATTTCATAGAAGACTGGGTGGGAGCTCCAGGCAGTGATGTGAGCAATTGAGAGAGGCTTTAAATACAGATGAAGCTTCAAGAGCTTGCCCATTGATCACCTGCTGTGTGGCCCACCATACCTTCCTAAATTTTATGGAAGACAAGTTTTCCATGATGGGGGAGTGTGGCCTGGAAGTGGTGGTGGTCTCTGTAGCAGTCTGCAGCCTAGGGATTGGAGATCACGGGCCTAGGCAAAGAATTTATGAAGAAAATCTCAATGGCAATCACAGCAACAACCAAAATAAATAAATGAGACCTGATTAATTAAATAAAAAAGATTCTGCACAGCTAAGGAAACAATCAGCAGTGCAAATAGACTACAGAATGGGAAAAAATACTCGGAAGCTATACATCGGATTAAGGGCTAATAACCAGAATCTGCAAAGAACTCAAGCAAATCATCAATAAAAAAACAAACCAGCACATTAAAAAGTGGGCAAAAGATAAGAATAGAAACTTTTTAAATGAAGATAGACAAATGGCCAATAAACATATGAAAAAATGTTCAATATTACTAGTCATGGGAATACAAATTAAAGCCACAATGAGATATCACCTTATCCAAGTTAGAATGGCTTTTATTAAAAAGTCCAAAAACAATAGATGCAGAGAGAAATGAATGCTTATACGCTATTGGTATGACTAAAAATTATTACAACCTCTAGGGAAAACAGTATGGAGAGTCCTCAAAGAACTAAAAGCAGAACTACCATTTCATCCAGCAATCCCACTACTGGGTGTTTACTCAAAGGAAAATAAGTCATTTTATCAGAAAAACACCTGCAAGGGAATGTTTATTGCACACAATTTACAATTGCAAAGATGTGGAATAAACCCAAGTGTCCATCATTTCTTGAGTGGATTAAGAAAATGTGGTATATTTATATACCATGGAATACTATGCAGCCATATAGGAAGATGAACTTAGGCCTTGTGCAACAATTTGAGTGGAACTGGAGACCATTTTCCTAAGTAAAGGATCTAAAGACTGGAAAAACAAACACCACACATTAAATTGGAACTACCCGATGACCATACATGTGTACAAACGGAAATAAAACTCAGTGGAAATCAAGCAGGGAGGAGAAAGGAGGCGAAGGTGAAAACCCACCTGATGGGTACAATGAACACTACCTGTGTGATGGGCACACTTATAACCCTGACTCAAGCATAACAAAATCAATACATTTAATAAAAAACATTTGTAGCCTATAATATTTTCAAATAAAAAAAAAACCACATACACACAAAAACACAAGAGAAATGAGAAATATCATCAAAACAAGCTTTAAATTATAAAGTTGAAAGGTCATGGATAGAACTCCACATATAAATACTTCTCTAAAACACATTGGCAACATTGCATAGGAAATATATAATGCCTAACTAATAAACGAGAAAAAATTCTACAAATTACCTTTTATAAGTCAAAATCCAAAATTAAATAGAACTTTGAAAAAAAAGAGTAGGGTAATTATAAAGAAGACTATATAACTATGGTAGTTAGCAAATTGTGAAAATAATCCTTTCTTTCTTTCCTGTCTCTCCCTCAGAAAGGTGTGCCACATGAAAGAAAAAGGGAACAATTATTCAAGATGTTAGATTGGAACACAGAGTTAGCAGTTTGTTAAAAAAGAGAATCTGAACATCAAGTGAATTATGAAGCAAAATGCAAATACTTAGATCATTTGGATACCAGAAGATAGAGAATGAATTTGACCCTGACTTTCTCATCTCAAATCAAGCTTTCCCTACCTTTAATCACTCCACTCCAGCCACTGACCTTCCTTCTTGTCCATGGATTAACTACAATGTTCCCTTTCACACAAGGGCATTTATACACACCATTCCCCATGCCGTGTTCTCATTACCTCTTCCCTTCCTCTTATAGAGATTTCAAATAGAAGTTCAAAATCTCTTACTTGGGGGTTGCCATTCCTACTCCTTTCAAAATATCCTTCTAAAATGATTTTTATGTATACAATTTATTACTTTAAGGGTACATATTCACATATACATTAGTCTGTCTACTTCCTTCAATAGAGTTTAAATTTTACAATGGATGTACTTTGATGTCCAGTTTATTGCACTGCATAACACATTATCTGACATATAGGAGATAAGGCACCCAATAAAAATGTGTGTGATGAATAGATAAACCATGTATATATATATATTATGTTGGAAACTTTGAGAGTATAAAAGAAGAGAATTTGACCTGGATGGGAGTTCTGAGATGGCCTGTCTAAGAAAGTGACATTACAAGTTTTTTTGTTTGCTTTCTGCAGGGGTGAGTTAGATTTCAACTAATGAATAAGGAATTTTCACATGGAAATAATCTGTGGTACAAAGCAATTTGGTGCATTCTAGCAGTAGAAAGAGAGCTAGTGTAGCAAGACACAGAAAGGCCAGGGGAGATTGGCTTTCAGTAATAATGGTCACATCAGAAGAGGTCAAGTTGTCTAGGACCTTTTAGAATATTAACGTTTTTCTTTTTCATAAATCATGGGAATGTCCACTTCATTTAGAAAGAACCTGGGGTGGAAAGTTTGGAAAGATAATATAGTAGCACTTATTTTTTAGATTAAATATGTAATTTTTATCAGATATATAGCATTAGCATGAGAAAAGAACAATTGTTTCCAGGGACATTCTCAAAGGAATCCACTGACATTTGGTTACTATTCTTAAATATAAACGCAGCATGTTTTATAACATCTCAGTGACAAACATTTTGACCAATGTTCAAAATAGCAAATATGTTAAGTTTATATGAAATCATTCCAGAATAGATACACAAACTGCTTTTGAAACGTAGGCCTCTAGCAGGCATTTACCAAATAATCATTAGGCTTCTAAGGCACCTCCCATTTCAGGATGATGTTGTTCTCAAGATTTAAAGATCAATTTTCTAATATCACATCTAATTGCCATTACACAAATCTTAAATATCCATAAATGGCTTAGAATCATATTTCAAGTCAAATTATTTTTCCTTCACGTTCACATGGAAGGCAGATTTCCTACCTGTGACTCAACCACGACTAACGTTCTTTGGATCCTTAGAGGGGAATAAGGACATATATCTCCTGCAGAATCTAAAACAAAAACACAAAACAAAAGCCTGTATTGTGACTGGATAGAAAATGAATTTAAACTTTCTCACTCTTCGTACATGCTAAAGGACACCAAACAATTAAAAAGTTATTCTGAATATATAAAATGCAAATCGGCTACAAGTGGTTTTAGATATTTTTAAAACTGTAAATTGTTTCAATGAGGCATTTGATATGAACACCATTTTCAATTATTATATTTATACCTCCATCCCTGGGCAGTGTGAGCTAACAGCTTATGATGTAGTTAAATAAAAATTTGGAGTAATTACAGAGACTTTAGTTACTTTCTTGTTAAAAATCAGAAAATTTCTAGAATAAAAATTAAAACACTTTTTTTTTGTTACCAGAAACAATTATTCCTAATAAATAGATATTGTAGTGAACTAAAAAAAAAATTAAATTTCATGCATAGGGCAAGCAATATTTTGGAAGAAATTAATTGTTTATTTCTATTTTTTTTTCAGCTTGCTTGCTTTTGCCATTGTATACATACATCAGATACCTTTTGGAAACCTTATTTGTTCACAAAGTTTCTGCAGGACATACATCTTTGAGAAAATTTAAAGGTCGGGATTAATGTGTTTTGTGTTTTATATTTTTAATTGTTATTGAGGAATTTTGTATATTAAATCCTTTGAAAAATATTCAAACATTTTTCCTCCTCAGGTCTAGATTTTCCTGTTCAATTGTGTCAGCAATTGAACAGCAATTTCTTGTTCAATTGTGTCAATGGCTGTAAAGCCATTTTCTAGGTGATCTATTTCATTTGAGCTTAACTTAACAGAAATATTTTTTTATGATTTTATGTTTCAACACAAGCCAAGAGCCTTTTTATTTTGGAAATACTTAGCATTGAATTCAGATTCTTTAAGTTCACTTGAAGAGGAAGAATCTCACATTTGAATACTACCACAAATATAGATTTATGTATGGTTAAAATGATTATACTATATTCCCTAGTTATCAATGTGATGTCAGTGACTTTGCTCTTTCTGGACATGATGAATGCAACTGTTATCAACCATTAAATAACTATGAAGAAAATGGGAAAACTTGTGAATCGTTGAAGTGGAAAAGTACATTAGGGGACATGTTGCACTTCACTTCAACTTATTTAATTTAATAACTTATTTAATTTAAATTAATTAAATTTAAAATTTATTTTAGTTCACTTTCAATTAAAATCTATTTTCAGAAGGAATTATGGCCTTACCAAAATTTTTCTTGTTTTTTGGAAAATATCTGCTTTCTAAAAAATTCAATAAGGCAGTCATTTTACTGTTGCCATTACAATAAAACATAAAGCTCTAGAATTCTGAGATCTCACAAATCATTTAGACTCACTTCTCTTTTGACAGAAGATATTATAATTTATTATATTAGTTCAAGATAAGCATTATAGCCTAGGACTCCTAAATCCATGTCGTTCTAGTCAATTGGGGTGTGTTACTACTAATTATTTAATAACTCATTCTTTTATCCACTTACTGTTGGAAATAATATTAGTATAACTTTTGCAATAGATAACTTATTTAATACTTTAGTAATTCATTCATATTTATTACTTGATAGACAAAAACATTCTTGATAAATCTTTCTAAAATATACTATTACATTTGACTATATCCCAAATGTCCATTAATATTAATAAGAGTGGAATAAAGGAATGCATTTCCTTGGTGATATCAAAATAGGACTTTTAGAGTTCTACTTTACTGGGCAAAGAAGCATTCCATTTATCCAGCTTAGACAATTTATACCATTTTTTATATAAATGCTGTGGTGTGTGATATAAATGTGTGGGGTGGTTTCAAATGATATCATATATATTACATATATTCCCTAACCTTTATTTTGTTTTATTTTGTTTGTAGGGTTGTGCCTTTTACTGGGGATTCACTTCTTGGATTGCCTACTACATCAATCACCCATGGTATACACCACCAGGTATGAAGGAATTTTTGTTAACTAACCATACTAAATGACCAAAATCAAAAACCTGCTTTAAACCAACAGAAAATGGTGAACAACATGGCACAATGAAAGGAATAAATAAATTATAAAAAGATGTCAATTTTAATTGCTTTGATATAATATGTGTTAAATGTTTGTATAGACTCAAAAGACCAATTTGACTCATATATTTTGATTTATTTTTCTTTATAAGAACTCTAGGATAAAAATATTGGTTGATTGTAAACCACCAAAAGGCCAGATCATAAAATGAAAAAGGCAAAGATTAATAAGAGAAATTTCATAAAATTATATAATCATGTACTAATCAACTATCACGTTTTAAAAGTAAGTAATAAGAAAAGAATAAATCGTGCTCTTTTAAATATGATTCAAAGAGGGAAAATAGGTAATTTTTTTGCTGTGACATATTGGTTTCTACTTATGATTTAATTTATTAAATATGTTGGCCCCTGACTCAGATGAGCAATTTGGTTGAAAGCACACTGGACCAACCCTAAATCTCCAATTATTAGTCCTGGGGATAAAAGGCCTACCATGATCAAAGAATTCCATTTTTTTCTTCAATGTGGACTTTTTTCTCTTCAATTTATTCTGCATCCCATAAGGCATACAAAACAGACCCCAGTAATTAATTGGTTTTTCATTTAATTGACAATTATTTTGGAGTCTATTTCGTATTAATAAAATTTAGATAAATGTAGATAAATGGTATATTTTAGATATATTTTAATTTTAGAAAATAAGCTTGATTACTTCTTTGATGAAGTAGTGATATAAAGAATTATCTTGTTCAGGGTCTTTGCTAAGATAAAGAAATTTAGTTCAGGCTGTGAAGTGAAGGGTAATTGATTACAATATGTAAAATTTAACTTATCTAATTTAATTAACATCAAATATTAAAGAAGAAATTTCCTATCTCATATAACTTATTTTTCAAATATTTTATTAGAAGATGTACTTATTAGCTTTAGAAACTTAACAGATAGGGGCCATTTGCCCAGATTATGTTAAGAAGAGCCTCAGATATTTGTTCTTATAGGTAAAAATGTAAAATACTTTAAACTGTGCTTTTAGACTCATTAATGCAAAATTCAAATTATTTTATTATTATTTTTCTTTTCTTGTTAACATTAAATGGGAATTTTGGTATCATTTAATTATAGCCATACTAAATACAGAGAGATTAAATATGCCTTCAAATAATTTATAATCTAACCCTTAATAATAGATTTCATTTGATCTAATATACTTAGTTTTAGAGAAAAGTACGAGTAGAAAAAATTTTTCAGCACTTTAGATGCAAAAGTATCTCCAAAAGGTCAATTACATACCACACGTACTGCTGATTATAGAACCTTATAACCATAACCTCTGCTTGAATTATGTCTACATATTTGACAATCCAAAATATGAATATTTGCATGACATCATCTTTTCCTATTCTCTAGCATTTGGAAACAGGCAAGTCACAGTATCTGCTCTCAGTTTTCTGGTATGTATCATACATATTATTTGCTATCATGCTTTAATTTTGGTAGTGTTAAGAATACAAAATAGATTGCATTTGAGGATTTGTCATGTAGAGAATATGATCTATCTTTATATATTATATACATTATGATATAAAATGAAGTAAATCAAATAGCCTCTCATAATCAAGTCTTTAGCTCTATAAATCTTTTAATCAAAATGTTGTAATTATCCATAAAAGATTATTAGAATTATTTGAAATATAGTAAATAACTGAAAAAACATACTCAGTGATTCTTATTATTGTCTACACATTTACCAATTTACAAGCCTATAAGAACAAAAATCTTTACAAATCTAACAGATTAACATCCAAAAACCACTTTGAAAAAAATTATTAATTTAATTTAAGATGAATACAAAGTTTGCTTATTTTAACAATACATAGCTCTTTCTAAATTGTTCTCAGTCCAGTTCTTTATATCATTATGTGTAACTAAATATATACATTTACTTAATTGTACAAGATCAATCTGGGTACATCAGATTCTTTATTATTTCTGTAATGCATTAATTATTGAATTAGACATATTTATTTAGCTCTTATATGCTTTATAATTCTAAGCTTTCATCCTTCATTTATATTCTTCCTTCATCTCTCTTCTTGATAAATTAATAAAATCCCATGATTCATGTACAAGTCCATATCCGTTGTGAAATTTGTATTCAATAAGTTATCTCCAATCATTTCATGCAAGGCATAAATCACTCACTACACTTGGTAGACTCTCACATGACCCTATCTGTGTGTGTGTGTGTGTGTGTGTGTGTGTGTGTGTGTGTGTGTGTATGTGTGTGTGTGTATATAAGCTAATAGGTTAGGTAATAACATTATCTACTATGTTGGCTTTGTGAAGGCCAGGTCTTGCTTTATCTTCCCAGCACCTAGTTTTGCATAGGAAGAACTCATTACTTGCTTCAATAAGTGATACAAATCATTCATTTATTTAGAATTTCTTTATTAAATATGCTGTAAATATATCACACAGACTTTTAATTTTCCATATGTATAAATTGTTCATGGAGAATAATCCTGCAGTTCATTTGTTGCAATCACTCTATTCCTAATCCATATTTTACCTAGCCTAACTACTCAGTAAATTTGAGCTAATGGAAGAATGAATTCATGAATAAACAAAATAATAACCACATATTTGGTCCTTAAGTATGTTTTAGATTAATATCTGACTATTCTTCTGATTTTTATCCTCATTATGTTGTTCACTTTTTTTAAACAACTTGTTTACTATAACTTATTTCTGTATATTTATTAAGAACACTCCATTTTCATTCAATATTATTGATTTCTTCCCTTTTTTCAAATACAGTATGCTATGTATTCCTTCCTTTTCCTCAAATATGTTTGGCATTGGTATAAAACAAAAATTTTAATAAAGGTCATTCTCACTGGAGATAAGTGATATCTCATTGTGGTTTTGATTTGCATTTCCCTGATGATTAGAGATGTCGAGCATTTTTTGATATGTTTGTTGGCCTTTATTATATCTTCTTTTGGAAAGTTTCTGTTCATGTCCTTTTCCCATTTTTTGAACAGGCTTTGAATTTTTCTGCTGATTTCTTGAGTTTCTAAATAGATTCTAGTTATCAGCTTAACGGATGTGTAGCTTGTGAAAATTATCTCCCATTCTGTAGGTTGCCTGTTTGTTCTTTGGGTATATAGTTTCTTTGGGTATGTAGAAGCTTTTTAATCAATTTACCAGACTTCAAACTATACTACAAGACTATAGTAATTAAAACATCTTTGCACTGGCACAAGTACGCGCATTGACCAGTGAACAATAGAGAACCCCAGATTAAGCCATCTTCATATAGCCATCTGAATCTTTGACAAAGCAGACAAAAACATACACTAGGGAAAATAATCCTTATTCAATAAATTATATTGGGAAAACTGGATAGCCACATGTAGAAGACTGAAACAGGATCCAATCCTTTTACTTCTCACAAAAATCAGCTCATGCTGGGTAACAGATTTTAACCTAAGATGTGAAAATATTAGAATTCTAGAGGAAAACATTAGAAATACTCTTCTAGACATTGGCCTACGCAAAGAATTTATGAAGAAGACCCCAAGGGCAATCACAGCATCAACAAAAATAAATTAATGGGACTTGATCAAATTTAAAAGTTTCTGCACAGACAAATATTATTTTTAATATTTGGTATATTTGTTACATTATATCCTGATATAATTAATTTATTGAATTTGATTATTCCAAGTGACATGTTTGCATAACAGTTCTAGATGATGAGAAATTGATTTTATTTTCTTTTTAAATCCATTTCCTTCCTAAAATTTAGAAAGTATTGAAATATAAGCCAATTTTTCAGTATTAGAGTCATCTAGAAATTAGGTAGTTCTGAGAGTTATTATTATAGTTCTTAGAACTAGTATAATTACAGTTCTGTAGAACTATTAGTATATGTGAAGAAAATGCATACAGAAATGGTTGGAGAGAAAAGAATAAAATCATACATATTTAGGCATTAGTAGCATTAAAGCACTGAGTTAAAAGGGTGCTCAACTTTGGAACATATATAGATTAAAAGTTGACTAATACTAAACGATAAATATTTTGAATGGCTAATCTCTTATCAATAATATAGTACTGATATGTTGAACACATACTTTGTGTTAAATCAAATAAGGTATATATGGCAGGTAAAGGGAGGATTTAACCTTCACAGGATACATGTTCCAAATTGGGAACATTATGTGTACCAGGAGATGGTGGTAAATCCTGATTTCCAATGGCCTGCTAAAGGGGACAGCTAGTGGAGTATACATAATCAAGGGATCATCTGACAGACAATCAGCAAGTGTCTCGAGTGTCTTTGTGGGTCAATAGCACTTATAATAGGTTTTCTAAACTAAGCTGAAACCTCCTGCGCATCAAACCATCACCCCTGTACTAGAAAGGTCATTACTACGTTAATGAACTTAGAATATATAAACTTATGCCACTGGTCTTCAACAGCATGAGTTGTCACTTAATGGTATGTAATCTACCTAGATTAAGAAGTACAAAGCAGGCCAGGCACCGTGGCTCACGCCTGTAATCCTAGCACTCTGGGAGACCAAGGCGGGTGGATTGCTCAAGGTTAGGAGTTCAAACCAGCCTGAGCAAGAGCGAGTTCCCGTCTCTACTATAAATAGAAAGAAATTAATTGGCCAACTAATATATATGGAAAATGAGCCAGCGTGGTGGTGCATTCCTGTAGTCCCAGCTACTGGGGAGGCTGAGGAGTTTGAGGTTGCTGTGAGCTAGGCTGATGCCACAGCACTTCACTCTAGCCTCGAACAAGTGAGACTCTGTCTCAAAAAAAAAAAAAGAAAAAAAGAAAAAAAAGAAGTACAAACAGATAATCCGCACCATCTGATTAACAAGACAATTTGACCTTGTTATCATAAGGGTCAAGAATATCTTCAGAATTTTCAAACTCATGGTAACTAATTATTTTGATTCAATATATGCGAACAAACAGCTTATTTCGTTGTTATAACATTTCCTTTTCTTAGAATTATTCTAAAAGTATATCTCTGGAATCTTTAGAATTAATGTATGACATGAATTTTGTATGCCTTTAGAATACATTTTTAAAAATAGGAATGGATATATCACACTGAAAAGGTTACAATGTTTTGCAGATTTGTGAAGCTGGAAATCATTTCATCAATGTGATGTTGTCTCATCCCTATCACACAGGTTAGTTTTTAGTTACTTTTTATCTTTTCTAGAGTGGATTATGTTAATAATTATTTCAAAAAGCCTTACATCATCAATTTTTAAAGAAGGAAAATAGCAGTAGTTGGAAACTCTTAATAGGGCATGCCATTCTTTTTGCCCTTTTATGTCTAAGTTTTCCAAAGATTTGTATTAAATCATATTCCTTAATATTTTTTCTAAAATGAAGTATGTATGCACATAATCTGGCCCACCTCCACCATACACTAAACAATAATCTTGCTTAAGTATGTGGAAAAATAGAACTGGGCATGGTGACTCAGGCCTATTCCAGTGCTTTGGGAGGCCAAAACAGGAGGATTGCTTTAGGCCAGGAGTTTAAGACAAACCTAGGCAACATAGTTAGACTCTGTCTCTACAAAGAAAAATAAAAAATGTATCCAGGCATGTTGGCACCTGCCTGTAGTTCTAGCTACTTGGGAGGCCGAGGTGAGAGGATCACTGGAGCCCAGGAGTGTGAGGTTAAAATGAACTGTGATTGCTCTACTGCACTGCAGCCTGGGTGATAGAGCAAGACCCTGTTTCTACTAAAAACCAAACAAACAAAGACACAAACAAAACCCTAAACCTAATTAGTAAGAAGTAAAGCAGGCAGACTGAAATCAACTGATGAATATTCAAATTACTTAACTCTCAATATTGATTTAATTTGCACAATATTTGACATGATCCCATTATTTCAAATGACTTCTTAACTTTTTTCCTAGTGAGAGTGATCTTGCATTGAAAAATTGAAATAAAAATGAAATAAAAGTGCCGATGAAATAAAAATGCCCGAGGGAGCACTTAAGTTTAGTAGTATGTGCTACATGTATTTGAAAAAGTTTATAGTGCCCATATCATTTAAAGATATTTTTTGTAAACCAGTCATTTCCTTTAGATTCACTCCTAGGTAAGCATTCCCAGCTGCTTACTGTATATAATACATATTTTAATTATAAATTTCAAATAGAAATGGTCAATATCTAGACTTTATGTTATTACGAATTCAGCTGAAAACATGAGAGCATATTTATCTTTTCAAGTTTTTTTTTATTATTTCAGCATATTACGGGGTTACAAATGTTTAGGTTGCATATATTGCCTTTGCCCCACTAGCATCAGGGCTTCAAGCATGTCCATCCCCCAGACGATGTGTGCTGCACCCATTTGGTATGAATATATCCATCCCCTCCACCCCATCCCACACGCCTGGCACCCGATGAATGTTACTACTATATGTGCATGTTTAAGTGCTGGTCAGTTAATATCGATTTTATGGTGAGTACATGTGGTGCTTGTTTTTCCATTCTTGTGATGCTTCGCTTAGAATGTGCTCCTTATGAGAATCTAATTCCCGATGATCCAATATGCAGCTGAAGTCGTGATGCTAGTGCTGAGGAGACGCTGCAAATATAGAATATGATTACTAGAGAGGTTTGACTGCACGATAAATATAATGTGCTTCAATCATCTGGAAAAACATTTCCCCCCTCCTTGTCCATGGACAAATTGTCTTCCATGAAACCAGTCCCTGGTGCCAGAAAGATTGGGGATCTAGTTGATATCTTCTCCATTTGAGCTAACTTCCCATATACTATTCCTCTCTTGGAAACAATGCCTTCCAACGCAAAAACCTCTTGCCCTACTACTTTCAAATAATTTCATTTCAGTTCTTTATATCCAGTGTTCTGATATATTGGGTCTCAGACCTTTGTTCAAGGTGTAACTTTGTCTTCTGATCATCAATGCTAGCTATCCAAACACCCAAAGATTCTTTTTCCTTACATAAAATCCTTATCCAACTATCAGTTCCTGTGTGAGCTCTAAATGAGTCTTTGCCATGCGTGGCTTTTTACTTCCTCACATATTAATTGAAGTTTGTTGTAATATCTATTAAATATGGTTAGGCATGGGCTATATAGAGAAGAGCCATTTAATATTGATTGTACAAACAAGGTGTCACAAGTCATGTTCTCCAGTTGGCAGAGTTTGATATGAAAAGTAGTTTAAAGGAGGCTTATTGGAAAATGTGGATAAGAGGGAAGGACATTAAAGTAGCCCTAGAACAATATTGTAAATGTATAGTATTGTCCATTTTAAAGAAAAGGAAACTGTTCTGATCCCCTTTTCTAATAGAGGTAGAAAAAAAATACATTTGTTAACTCAGAGTTATCTCCATTTTTCCAAGACTGGGTTAATCTGCTTTGGCAAAGATACTATATCTGGTAATTAGTTGCAATAGTAGATAATGAATGATCAATTTTGCAGTAACTCACTGTTATCCTCCAACAAACATCTGACTTTTGCAGGGGCTAGGGTACATGCATACGTATTTATTTTTATCTTAAAATGAACAGTGCATGGAATCTGCACAACAGTTCATATATTTTTCCTTTGATATTTCAACAATAGCTGCAATTTTGAAAACAACATACTGACATTTCATTATGACTTTAGAGTTATAACTTAAAAGATTAGTTGATTTATTATCTGATTAAATCTGGCTCTGGAGAATGAAACAATTTTATAATGCATATATACTTTCACAAATGTCACAGCTCAAAGTTCAACTCGAAATCATGATAAATGTGTATCTAAAACATTTAAAGGAGAAAATTAAGTAACAAAAATCAAGTGATAATAAGCTAAGTATAATGATAGATGTAAATAACAATCCTGATTGCTGAGAAGACATAATTTACATTGTATTTCAGAATATTAACTATACTGATATTCCAGGTAATACTGTCATGAGAAATTTTCACACTTTTCTTATATAAATTACATCCTTATAAAATTCCATAGTATTTTCACTAATCAATACAAAGGGAAATTTGAGGTATTTAATAATCTCTACCAATATAGTATACCTTCTTTAACACTAAAGGAGAATATGAAGAGGCAAGCAATTATTAAAACACATTTCATAATTTCCATATGTAATGCTATTACAAATATGTTATACAAAACAATGCTTATATATTATTTTATTTAAAAATTTAAAGAATTGATTACTCTTGTGTATTCTGTATTTTTATACCAACATAGCTATAGCTATGGTCAGAAAGTGACAGCTATTCTATTTGAGTTAAAAGTTCACAGCATTTTAAACTGGGTCTCTTCTGAGTAATTTGTGAAATGGATAGCTATAAATATGTGATGACATTTCATGTGGTATGTAATTATTCTTGGGAATTTAGTATTATAGGTATATGATCGGTTTGTGATATGTAGCATCATTAACATTTTACTTTTCTTTCTAAAAGGAAATAATGCCTGTTTCCCAAGTCCAAATTATAATCCTTTCACATGGATGTTTTTCCTGGTTTCATGTCCTAACTACACCTATGAGGTATGTCATTTATGTGTATAAATAACTGAACTTTATTTGATGACATACTAAATACATTTGTTTATATGTTTACATGTATTATAAATTAATATATATGATAAAACATATGTAGGTGTTATCTATAGATATGTGCACAGAGAATGATCACAGAGACATAGCTTTCAATTCTAGTTATAAGTGTAGGAAAATAGAACATTTCAATTTTCTCTGCAGATAAAGAAGTATTTGTACAAAAAAGATCTATATTTAATGAAGATTTTGAAGTTGTCATATAAAATGTCTTGAGATATTTCAGAATTTTAGTTTTTATAAAATGTTTTAGAACTATGTACTCTGTTATGGATACTATTTTTATGAGATTGCTTATGAATTATAAATGTAAAATTAAATTATTAGTATTTTGGAAATATATTCCTTCCTAAAGCTGTTCTAATGTTTTAAGCCTTAAATTGATCTGTTTAAGGCCACAAGTGAACAAATTACTAAATTAACCATAGCTACTTGTTAATTTATGTTTTAATATAATAGATTGGATCATGGGTTAGTTTCACAGTCATGACACAGACATTGCCAGGTAAGACCTAGGTTTATTGACAATTAATCAAAGTGAATGTACCTTTAACATAAGTGGTTTCTGAGAATAAGTTACTATAGTACTAATGTTTGGCATGTTTGCAAAAGAATTTTATGTTCTTGTATTGATTTTGATTTTTTGAGTTGTATTTAAATTATACTGAACATTATTTGTTGTTTAGTGTTACTGCTCCTTAATCCAAGCTAGGAAATATTAATGTAAATTTATTATTAAGCAATGAGTTTTCATTAAAAATAAATTGTGAAACTCACTTCACAATGAAACTCTTGTGTATATGCACAGAAACTTGCATGTGCTGTGTCTTCAAATGGCCTTGAGTATCTGTGATGGAAGGGCTTGGAATATGAGAGTATAATCTTGAATAGTGGGCATTTTAGCATACATTAAGAAGTTGAAATGCATGAACTCCATGTAGTAGAAGAGATATATGTAATATTCATTTTATCCATTCTTTGTTGTATTGCACAAAAGTTTTGAATTATAGTTAATGTTGTTTATTATATTATGTGCATGGATATGTGTGGGTATAGATATTATATGCATATAGACAACTATTGAAAAATTCAAAGACAAAAAATTCTTCATTTGACAATATTTTGTGGCAGTGGGATATAAAAACATGTAGCTTTATTTTGAACTTTGCTATATATTTTCTATGTTTACTCATCCATGCAATATTGATTGAATATATGCCGGGCAATGATTATAAGTAAAGGAAATAGATAAGAAAATATTTAATATATGAGAAATATTTTAAAAGCTATATAAGGTAATGATTATTTTTCTAATATAATTTACTATATCCATCATAGAAATAAGAAAAAATAATAATTATTTCTTTTTTCTTCTAGTTGGAATTTTTACACTTCTGATGAGTATCCAGATGTCTTTCTGGGCAAAAAAGAAGCATAAGATTTATTTGAAGAAATTCAATTCATATATGTATAGAAAATCAGCAATGATTCCATTCATATTGTAATAAAATATAAGTAATTTTATCTCATATAGAAAAATTCACAATCAAGCTTAGTCACAATGGTTAACTCTTATGTTCTAGTAATACATAAACAATAGTATTTTTAATGAGTGAAAATATAAATTGGTTGAATTTTGCCTTATTTAGAATTATAAACTTGAGGTAATAAAAACGGAAATTATAAATAGACTTAATGAAGAACACATTGAATATATTTGCATAGGATTGTTCCCTTCACAAATTTTTTATTACATTAATTTTTCACAATACTATTTGCATACAATAAAATATCAATAGCAAAAAGAAATCTGATTACAAATGAGCAAAAGATCTGAATAGACCTTTCTTAAAAGAAGACATACAAAAATATGGTCAACATCACTAACCATTAGGGAAATGTAAATCAAAACCAAAATGAGATATAATCTCATCCTAGTTAAAATGGTTATTATCAAAAAGACAAAATAACAAATGCTGATAAGGATGTAAAGAAAAGGGAATTCTTATACACTGTTGGTAAGAATGTAAACTAGTACAACTATTATGGAGAACAGTATGAATGTTCCTCACAACTAAAAGTAGAACTACCATATGATACAGCAATCCCCCAACTAGGCAATTGTCCAAAGGAAAAGAAATCAGTATGTCAAAGAGTAATCTGCAGCCCTATGTTTGTTGCAGCACTATTCACGATAACCAATACATAGACTTAACCTAGGTGTCCAACAATAGATGAATGGATAAAGAAACTATGGTATATATTCACAATGAAATACTATTCAGCAATAAAGAAGAATGAAATTCCATCATTCATGACAACATGTAAGGAACTGGAGGACATTATGTTAAGTAAAATAAACTAGGAACAGGAGGTTAAAAATCACATGTCCTCACTAATGTGTGCTGTATACAAAAAGAGTGATATAGAAGTAAAGAGTAGAACAGAGGATACTTGAGGCTGGGAAGACAGGATAGGGAGAGATTTGTTAAAGGATTCAAAATTACAGCAGGTAGGAGAAATAAGTTCCAGTTTTCAAGAGCACTGTGGGATGACTATAGTTAAGAATATGTTATATAATTTCAAAGAGCTAGAAGGGAAAATATTTTGAAAATTCTCAACACAAAGAAACAATAAATATTTGAGATGCTGGATATGCTAATTACCTTGATCTAATCGCTGTACATTATATGTATCAAAATATCACTGTGTACCCCATAAATATGAACAATTATTATGTCATCAAAAATAAAATTAAGTTAAAAAGTACCTGAATTCTAAAGTAAATATTTTTAAAAGTTGTGACATTTAAATTACTTGAATATCTTACATTATTTGACAGTAATATAATTTTTTTCTTTATTGTTCCATCTACTACAGGAAAGTATCAAATGTCTTATGCTAGTAGTTCAATTGCATCATGAAATTGTGAAAATTATACCTATATTAAAAGTGAAAGATTTTCACTTAGCCATGGGTAATATATTTACAGTCTCAAATTCTAAAGTTTTCACTTGTGCATTTTCAATAATTATGACTTTTATGTTAAAGTAAAAATTGTGTCGATATTAACAACTCAAAAGTTCCATGTTGTCTATAGAAAAATATATATAGGCCTTATTCCTAATTTACTAAGATATATATATATATATATATATATATATACATGATATCTTCATAAGAACAATATAAGATTGGCCAAGAAGGAGTTTTGTCATTTGGGAACGGGATGCATTTAATACTATCATAAACCATACCAATTAGAGAACAGTTCTAAGATGCTGCCAATTCACCTCCAAGTTTTTACATTCCATTTATTGGTGGATTCAGTTATGGGATTGAATTTAGGATGTGGACAATCAGTGAGAGTAAAGGAGGGTACAATGCAGCCTTGCTTTTTAGACAGTTTATTTTGCATACAAACGTTGAGTCATGATTGAAATTCTAATCATATTTGCTTTCTTAATAACTGTGCTAAGCTTTAAATTAAATATCATTAATAATATGCTTGTTTTAGAATGTAACATAAAATTGACAACTGTGACCCTGAACATTTTCATATGCCTTGGAGCTGTTTTACTTTTAGCCTAATCAGAACATTTTTGGTCCTTTCAAATCATTCCACACTGCCTCCCTTTTGGGCTTTGTGGAATTCCCGTTGTTTTCTTGTTATTGATGCCAATTTTATAACTGGTAGATGATCAAAGGTTCTTAAAAAAAAGTATTTATCAATAATCATGCCTAAAGAAATACGGTTGTCATCAAACTAATTTATTATGCATTGTGTCACTCAAGAACACTTAAACACTGTACCTTCCCTGCAGGAGACTGCAAACATTGAATTAGGATCAAATCAGCAATTTGCAATCTTGTAATGTAGAAATAAGTACATTTTGTACACTTACAAATAAAGCCTAACTGGTATATCCCAAACAATTTCAATAGAAAAAAATAATAGGATATATGAAAATTTTAAAAAGCCTTTAGTAGAATTAAATGAAATTAATTAAATTACATATAGTAAAAGCAATATTATAGTTTATTCATGTTTTATTCCTTTATTCCTTGGGTTACATGGGATATAATAGGATAGATACTAACTCACCATGCAAATACTTCTTTAAAATGTATGAAATTATGAATCTTATTCCCATGAACAATCTTCCCCAGGGCCATTTTTCTATTTATAATTTCTTAGAATGCATTTACTCTTCATTACTATAAATTTTGAATAATGTACTGTTTATAAAAACATAACAAGGTGAGCAAACAAAAAAAAACCTCTAAAATCTAAAATTATACCAATACTTGTTATTCTCCAGAGAAATGTATAGATTTGTGAATTCATGGCTGATGATATCTTCAACTATTGAGTTGTGCATTGGTTTGCTTGGGGTTTACTAACTCTTTTCTACGTCCCCAAAGATAAGTCAGTTCAGGGAGACCTCAGCAGGATTATTACTGGCGAGCAATCATCCTTGGTTCTTGTATTTGGAGACAAAGAATTGAAACCAAACACCAAAGCAGCAAAACAAAGCAAAAGACATTTGTTAAGCAAGTACACCTCCAGACACCAGACACCGGGCGGGGGCTGTCAAGAAGGACTAGCCAGTGGCATCACACTCTAGAAGGGGGGACAGAAGCGAACACACGGCCCAGCCCTGAGGTCTTTTCAGGTTCCCCTTTTCTTTCCTCTGATTCGGTCATTCTTGTGTTGCCGTCCCCCTAGCCAGTGAGAATGTTATCTCCTCCCATCCCTCGGGTGGAGGAATTTTTTACTTTAATTGTTCAGGCCTGGATGTGGCATGGCTTCCAAAACGCACCTGGGGTGGGCAAGTTACAATGCTCATTTGTGGTAATAATGGTATAATGAAGTCAGAGTCATTTGGGGACACTCTTGTCCTTCATCTGCGTAGGTGCCCCCCTCTCCAACTTACCCCAAACTGTAGCAACCAGGGTGTATCTACAATGGGTAGGGTCTCAGCTGGACCACAGCTTTTGTTTTCACTGATCTGTAATTCTAATTTTGTTCCTGTTGTTTTGTGCCACCTGAGGTCTTTCTGGGCCACCTGTGTTCCCTATCCTAATCTCCTGGCTCAGGATGAGATACTCAGAGACAGACTGGACCAGGTTGGGAGATAGATTTTTACATAAACTTGTATCCCATCAAAGTAGAACTTACTATGCCTTCCCTCCTAAATGCCTTAGTCTAAACAAAGATTGGAGATAATCTTAAACAGAAGTGGAAAAATATAATCACAGGCCTCTTGTAGCTTGTGAATCTTGCCGAGCTATAGTTTTGCACCTTCCATTTAGAGTGCTTTAAAGAATAGAAGCCAATAATTTAGATATTTAAATTTTATGAATATAATTAAGCATATGAGATTTAATAAATTAACCTCAGAATTTTATAACACTAGATAATGATAACATATAATATTAAAAAGAAACAGCACAGTTCATTTAATCTAATCATTACTTTGATTGCTACTTTTAAGATAATTGTATGAAATAATACTTTATCCCACAACAATTTGCAAAGAAATGACATTTTTTACATAGCACAGCTTTTCCTACCTATTTACATACCTGTATTTGCCAAACATGCACCAAAACTACATTTCCAGTTGGAATGTGTATGGCTTTATAAAAACTCATGAGCCTACACAAATTAATCTTTCTGGAAAGACTGATAGGACACAAAACTCACTATTCTAGACACATACACTGGCCCTTAGGAGAAAACCACTCAGGAATTCTGAAGTGTCCAACATAATAACTGACCATATATATTGATCGGTTGGAACAGTGCAAACATCAAGACAAACTGTTGTGGTCTAACCATCTGAGACTAGTGGATTATTTTAGCTACACAAAAATCTGGACATATTAGGCATACAGAGTGCTCTAAGGGGCAGGATAAATTCAGCAACCTTTATCACATAATAATTGCTGATATAAGGTCCAAAGAACCCTCTAATAATTTTCCTACAAAAATCAAAGATTTAGTATATCCTAAAACTATGATGTATATTCATATGTAGTGGTGCACATCTAACACTATTTGAAGGTTGAGAATTTTACCTAAGAAAGTATAGTATATGTGCATATGCATGATAATACATTAGGTAGGTACTAAATATAGACTAAGACAGAAATGGATTTAGCAAATCAATTCATGCTGTAAACAGTTAATAGTCCTATGTAGCTTTTAAAATATGCATACTATGAGTTTTAGTTGGTATATTAAATTCTCATATAAAATATTAAGCAAAATAGAATAGAAAAATAGACTAACACTTTCTCCAAGTGTGTAGGTATTTTATAATTCTTAGTAATAATTTTTTAAAAATCCTACCACCCGGGTTGGGGAGGGGAGGAAAAACCCTTACCCTTTTCCTGGGCTGTGGAACTTTCTAGAATTAGTTTGTGCCTATTACTCCCTTCTATCTTCCTCTCTCAACTGCTCAGTTCTTCCTGGTGATGTTCCTGGACTGTGCTGGTGTCTAGCCCCGGGGTCCACTTCCAAGCAGTAATC